TGTGGACTTAGGTTGCCAGTGACAGTTGCTCTGGAGCCTGGCTTCTGTCTCTTGTCTGGGATGCCATATGTTTGGTCTCAGCAGGTCTTTTTATTCTAGTCCTCCTTTTACTGGGCAAAATGAATTGTAGGATGAATTCACAACTAAGATGCAAGAAGGAACAGGAGGATGGAAAGGGATGTCAGCAGGATTTTGCTGATCCATCTGGGATTCTCTGTGGTCCACAAGTGACTGTCTGAAATCTGGAAGTTGCTAGGGAAAAATCATCATTCACTGAAGAAGATCAGAGTCTTTTGATATCACAGTTATCATTTTTCACTCCTCTAAGTTAGAACCTCCATCAGTTTGATTGCTGGTACTACTTTCTGTCGGTGTTCATTTTCAGTAGTTGGTAGGCTGTCTGACAGGCTTTTGTCTACAACAGTTGTTCTTATCTAGTAGAGAGATTGCATTTCACCACAAGTATTCTTGTAGAATCAACAGCTCTGTAATTCTCTGTGTGTTTTCTCTTTTCCCTTTCCCCAGGTTTTGGAAACGTGCTGGATTTGTGCCAGTTTATCTAAGGCAGACACCAGTAAGTAGCATATTGTTTCTGAATGAAATCCAGCCCTATTGAAATCACTGGGCACCTTTCCATTAGCTTCTTCTGTGAGATGTGATTTGGGCAGGAAAGTTTTCTGAGGCTACATTTGGGGTTTGTTTTACGTTCAGTTTTGTCCTTTGGGCCTGTAGTTAACTAAAGGAGTAAAGTTCTAGGGTTGTAAATGGAGTCTCCTAAGTAGGTTGCACTTAAAAAATTAGAGCAAAGGTGCAGCTATTCAGGGTTATTGATGTGGTCATTGGTAAAATATGCAAGTGGCCCTTGAACTGATTGCTCTTGTTTTTCAAGGTGTTTACAAAAAATAGCACTAGCAGTTATAGTTCTTTTGGAGAGAATAATTTATGTATCTCGTGTCACTGCATTTTTGTTTTGTTTTTCTGGCTCTTGAGCCGTTCTGGAATTTGCAATACTAGTGAATACTGCTCACCTCAAGAAGCCAAAATCCCTCAGCGCTGGGATTTACCAAGTTCTAGAAGTTTATGGGGTTTACATTAGGTAGTGGTGATCAGTAGCAGTTGATCCATGAGTTATTGATGTTGATTGGAAGACCTTTGCCTTCTTCAGATGAGCATAGAGTGCAAAAGGTTCATGGGGATGATGGGAAATGTATCTTATTTATTAGAATGACCTGACTGGTGAGCATTCGTGCATCATGCTGAAGATGCTGAATGAAGAGGACACTGAACAGGAGCCTTGGCTTACTGCCTTCTGGAAAGGTAACTTTGATTTTGCCAACACTAGAATAATCTTCTGGGATATTTATTCTAGAGGTCCACAGGAGTTGTTAACTTTATCATCATGTCCTACAGATTTTAGGAGACGGTTCCTTTCTCTGCTTTCCTACCAGTTCAGCACATTCTCTCCCTCGTTGGCATTGAATATTCTACAGAACAAAAATATCAAACAGCAGCCTCAACCACGTGAGTACACTGGCTCACAGTGTTCAGTTAGATTGCAGTTTATATATGTTTATGTTTATCAGAGTTCTCACTTACATGCATTATATGATGTCTCTTGTGAAGTGCCATGAATTGCTCTTGGTCAGTTAATGTTTTGTTTCTATTATCCAGAAAAATGCTTGTATTTCTGAGTAAAAGCTAACAGAACACTTGCTGCCACTGCAGATGTGTAGTGATGTTGTTTTGGTGTGGGATTTTTTTTTCCTGCTTTTGTGATCAAAGATTTAAGTAACCCAGAATCAGAGGGCCTTTGACTGTAACAGCTAAATGAATGACAAAACATAGATGGATACTGACACCTGCCAAATCCAGTATGGAATTAAAAGGGAAACCTTGACTAGGAAGGGTCAGGAGGCAGAGGAGCTTGTTTAAGACCTTAGGAAGAACGTTGTCATCAGAAATTTGGCAACTGGAACGTGATGTCTTTCTAAGAGAGAGGCTCTAGTTCAACTGCGTGTTATTGGGCTCAGTCCAGCACTTGCTTGGGGAAACACAGTATAAAAAAAAGAGGCCAGACAAGACAGTTCTAATAGTCACTTCTGGCTTACAAGCAAATTGCTGTTTTCTCACTATCCCTAACAGAGGGGAGTCCTCTTGAGAGAACTCGGTAATCTGTGTCTTGCAGGTTTTTAGTATCAGTCTTGGTGAAAAAATTCTGATTGCTGCTACAAGGGAACAAAGCTCTTCAACAGCAAAACCAGTGGAAGATAGTTAAAGACTGGGCAAACTGTTTCTCAGCCCTCGCTGTTTTCAGTCTCTCTGGCATCTTTGAGTCAATATGCTGGTCTGTTTTGATAGTTGCAGTGTTTTTTATATAGATGTATGTCTGTCTGAAAAGACTTTGAATCACCAAGCCAGTCTGAATAGCAGTGTTGTACCTAGTACCTTGAATTCTAAAGAAGTGAGTCTGTGGGATAGCAGTTGGCCTTTACTCAGTGAGGTGAAAAGGAACTTGTAAAATACTGAGACCCTGGATAACTATGAAGAACAATCTTGACATTGTTGTCTTTTCATTGTACCCATCAGCCATCAGCCGTGCTGAATTAGAATCAGCTTTTATCCCATATGACCTGAAGAGATTAGAGATGTACTCTCGCAACATGGTGGACTATCATCTCATCATGGATATGGTACCTACCATTGCCAGGATGTTTTTTCTCAACCAGATGGGTGATATCTCTCTCTCTGCTGCACAGTCGGTATGTATCACTGTGAGAACAAGCTATGCTTCACCTCTTTCTGTATATATATTTGGAATAGTTTCCTGTTTCATGTCATCTTTAAAAAAAGGCTTTGCTTCAGTTAATTGCTTCTTTTGTAGTCCTCTTCATTATTTTTTCTGCTTGTAGTGTTCCTCCACCTTTAGCGTTTGCTTTGAATAAAATTTGTAGGGATCATATTCTGTTGTGTGTTCAGTGAAGCATTCCGTGCATTTATAAAATGGTGTGAACTGTGGCTTAAAAACTCCTCAAAATCTTCTGGCTCTTGAACTGTACTTCAGGAGAAAGGTGTTTATCTGTATGAAGTATGGAATGGCACCTGCCATCTACAGCATAATTGAGGGGTGTTTCAGTGCATCTGAGCAAAGCTTCAGCTTGTACCAGAGAAGCCTTGTACTACTGGAGCAGAGCAAGGACTTGGTAAAATGGAGGGAGTGTAGAGGGTATTTAGGTATTTGTATTTTCTCTAAAAGCCTCTATAACTGAAGTAAATGTCATTTCCTCAGGCTCTTTTTCTGGGGATCGGCCTACAGCATAAATCTCTGGACCAACTGGAGAAGGAGTTAGAACTGCCCAGCAGTCAGTTGATGGGCCTCTTCAACAGAATCATCCGCAAAGTCGTCCAGGTAATGGCATCATGACAAGCTTTCTCTTGATTATTAGACCAAAGTGTAATTCCAGTACTGAGTCTGGCACTAATAGAAAGCTGAATCAGAACTGGGTATCTTTAACACGTCCCATAATTGACTGTAAACTTCTTTGTAAGATGGGGAAAATCCCAGTGGAAAAGCAGATATTTATGGCATTGATTTATATAATGTTTTCCCAAGTAATAGTGCTTGTGTTGTGTTTTTAAATGTTGAAATGTCCTGACCAAAATGCTGAGCAAACAACCCACGTTGTCAGCTGAGCCTGATCCATTTGTTTATGATTCACTGCATTGGTGGCATCTCAACTTTTCTTAATAAATAAATAAATAACTATGTAATTTAGAGGTAGACTTGAAGTCCAGTGAAATTATTAGAAAGTTTTGGATCTGGTTTTCTTTCTCTCTAGTGTCTGTGATAAAGTGAGTAACGTGATGAGTTATGAAATGGTGAGACAAGACAGAATACTTGCAGACTGCTCTCAATTGCTTGCTGAGCCTGGGGCTTCTAATTCTCAAGGTTTGGGATATGGTAGCAAAGCTTCTGCATTCTGGCAGAGGTTGTTCATTGGAGAGGTGATTTGCTCAGCTTAACACCCTTATAGTTATCTTGAAGAAAATATCATTAAAAAAAAAATCTGCAGCTTTTAGCTGCAAATGTTAATCAGATGGTGCTATATTAATAAAGCATGTTGCAAACTACGAGTTCTCTGTAATTATCCAAGTGACATTGAGTGCTGACTGATTTTAGTTTTATACTTTTTATAAAAGCTGTATATAATTCTGCCTTCAGGAAGCAAGTCTTGAGCTTTTTATTTCAGCGTGGTGGAATTCATGCATCAGCAAATAAACAACCGACTGATAATATTTGCAAGCTTAGAAGAGTTTCATGGGGACAGACAGCATTTCTTATTTATTTTAAAGGAATAACCTAGAGGAAACATCAGCAAGTCTTACATTTGGCTTACTTCATTTTCAGTTGTTCAACACAGTCCAGGAAAAAGCTGTGGAGGAGCAGATGGTGGCGACAAAGGATATTGTAATGGAGCCAACACTGAAATCTTTAAACGACGATTTGGTAATTATGAACTTTCTTCTTCATACATATTTAAACACTTCACGGAGTTCCCTTGGGTGTAGAAGCCTTGTAATCTAAATTTTCTCAGATGGAAAGAATTCCAAATCAGGTCTGTCACTTTGTGGTAGTTAAAACCTGACATCTTTGTGTTACATGTTTGTAGTCATCCTCTGTTAATCTGCAATATAGTTTTTTTGTAGAGCCTCCTAAGATGTTCTTGGAGTTATGAGTATATGTATACAAATAACAAAAATGCAATTATATAAAAGAGAGAAGCTTTTCAGGATCATCTGCTATTTGTTTTAGGGGATGTATTTCTTTTTCAGTGGGAAAGGCATTTTCCTTGCATTACATGGTCACTGTTGCGCTTAGAACTGAATGCATCTGTTGTGCTGTCCTGTTGTAGGAAGAAGCTGCAAAGGAATTCCAAGAAAAACACAAGCAAGAAGTGGGGAAACTGAGGGAAATGGACCTTACACAGTAAGAATTTATCTGTATGAATCTCAAACCCAGTTTTTTCCCCTGGTATTTGTTTGAATGCTGGGTCACTAGCACATCTTCCTGAGGCTTGTGCACAAGGCTGTCATTGCAGTATCACAGTCTCAAACCATCAATAAAAGAGAACTAGCAGTGGGTATTTTCAGCAGTGGCCAGGTAAGTACATGCTGTTACACTAATGGAAACTTTGGGTATTGTTTGCCTGACAGCCAACAGCTTCATCTTCATCAGCTCTGTTAGCAGCTGCTTTGTTTCACACTCAAAACTTTCTTTCCTGTATGAATTAAATTCAGTAACAACTTCTGTTCAAGGCCATTCACCGGTTTACCTCAGTACATGAATTCAGTGTCATACTCCCAACCCTGAACTTTCTGACTTCCCTTTTTCTACTGGTATTTTAAACAGAAAGCAAAAGGTTGTGAGGTAGCAGGCGACAGCTGATCAGCAGTGAGATCTGTCTGTCTGTGGAACTGTAGAGTTGATCTGTTGTTAGAGTTGGGGCTGGCTGGTCAGTACAGTGCTGGAAACAGAAGATGTGCTGCCAACAGGAGTGCTGGGTCAGTTCTCAGCTCTGTCCCAGGGCCTCTGGCATGAGCTTGAGCACATTCTTCTTTTACCTCCATTCTTTTTTGTCACTTAAATGGTAAATTATTCACAGCAGTTACTCTTATTATGTATCTATGTGTCAGTCTTGATCCTGGCTGTATTCAGTATGTATATTATACATATATAAGTTATATAGTTCTATAATATGGAGTAATAAAGCAAGCTGCCAGGCTGTGGACTGTTTCTAATCGTACAGTTTCCTGCACTTTTAGATATAGTAATTAGTTTTGTCAAACTAGGATACCTGGGTCCTGTTTGCTGTCCAGCTTAGCTGTGTGTGCAACTCAAGTGAAAATAGTACCTGGCTAATTCTAATATTCTCTTATTTAACAAAATACTCCTGTCAAAACCCCAAACCAACAGAAAAAGAACAACAGCTAGAGCTTCTTTTACAAATTACGATGTGCACAGATGCCTTTTTACTGCTGTAGAGCTGGGCAATTTGTAGGACAGAGTTGCTGATCCAGCAATGTACTTGAAGCGTCAGCAGATGTCTCTCTGGACCAACAGGAGTTACACAGGCCCCTGATTCTCTCCTTTCTCTCTCCTCCTCCCACTTTTTGTCTTCTAAATCCTGTTTACTGTACTGACATCCTAGAAAAGCTCTCTGTTTTGGCTCTAGATTAATCTCTGTTAAATCTGAGAAAAGGCATAAAAACTTCTTTGAATCTGTGGTTGTCTTGTTTGAAGGAAGGACAAAAATGGATGTGATCTGAAGTGACTTGCAAGTCAGTCACATTAGGAAAACAATATAACCAGAATTTTTTAGAAGTTTTAATTACGTTTTTTAGCACTGATAGTGTTAAATAACTGTCATTTTGGACCATGTTCCCTTTTTTTTTTTTTCCCCCACCCAGAATTAGATTTCTGTTCTCCATGAGGAGAAAGAGACAAAAATCTATTTTGAACACTTTTCAATACAGGTTATAGAAAACTAATAGAAGAGACAGAGCTGTTGGATTTGAAAAGGCTTTGTCCAGTATTGTTCAGCCTTGTATGGACAAAGGCTAGTCTATTCTAAATCTCTAAGAACTCGAGATGGAGAGCAACCTCTCAATTTTGCTACAGGACTGCTTTGCCTAGTTAAATTTGTATGTAATTTCCAGGGTACTTGAACACCCAGACAAGGGGCACAGAACATGAACTTATTTGAATAGCAATTGTTGTCTTAATTTCTCTTTTCAAAAGAAAGCTGCAGGTCTTCAGTTTTTCCTGGACTGATGCAGAAAAACTATATCATTTAAGCTTACTGCTGGTCTAAGAGCAGCTGCTAATTTCACTAACTTCTCATTTAAGCCATTGCTTTTTGCATCCTTTTCCTTTACCACCACAACCATCCTTCTCTTCTTTTTTTTGGAGGGGAGGAAAAGAAAAAAAGCCCTCAAGCTTTTATAAATAAATCTGTATAGTGAATATAGATCTGATGGTGGTTGACAGGCTTAAAGCTGTAGTGATTGAAGGTGTATTTTTAAGAAATCTAGTGGGCAGACTAGAAGTACACACCACTGCTATGGAAAGTTTAACCTTTGTGGCCTTATTTTTTGCTTTCATAAGAGATGTACTCTGCTCAGCACTGCTCTCCTGATGAGAGGCTTTCATAGAACAGTTTTGTGATGCTTACAATAGGGGATCCTGTGAGAGCTGCATTGGACACTGACCAGCTTTGGATGGGGACAGTTGTGGGTTGCTATTGACCCTCTTTGGCCTGAGTCTGCTGACAGAGTCGTGACAAGCTATTGTATCCCTTTGCCTGTCTAGTTTTGTGTATTATTTCCAAATTCTGCTTTTGTTGGGTGCTGTTGCTGTGGCTTTGTTTGTAAAGTACTGTGTGCCTGACAATATAATCACCTTATGTTTTATTACTTTGTGCTAGTGATTTCACTTGTATTTTCCTTTACCTTTTGCACTTAGATATATTATCCGGGGTGACGATGAAGAATGGAATGAGGTGCTGAGCAAAGCAGGACAGAACGCTTCCGTCGTCAGTGTGAAAAGGTTAAGGAAATTGAAATACTCCACAGAGCTCTCTCTGATCTTTCCTGCTGGCTTTATTAGAATGTTTTTCAAAAGAGTGAAGCTGAAGAGTTAAATGCAGATAAAAGGAATTTAGCATCCTTGATAGATTCTCAGTTTTCCTGGAGAAATCAGGGTGTGAGCTGCTGAGAGCTCTACCAGGTACTCTGGTTTCTCTAATGGCCAGGCTGCTACTGTGAATTCTCTCCAGTATAGTCTTGTCTTTATGTAAATTAGTCCCTTACTGTAACTTGTTTCTGTTGACATGGTTGAGTCTTGATCCTGATCACGCACAGACGTTGGTTGTGTTTCTCCCTTGGGTCACTTTTAAAGAAAGAACTCATCCCACGTAGCTGTCCCTTTTGCCTTGGGAGCTAACGCTGGGTGGGAGCCTCTGATACTCCCATTGGAGAAGCAGCAAATTCAGGGAAGAATTCTTTCAAATGTGAGCTTAAACCTGCATAATATTGAGTCTTCTTTTCTGCAGTTCCTTCCTTTTCATCCATCTTCTTTCTTTTACCTTGCCCAGCATGGAGTCTTTCCTCATCTTTTCCTTGGGGATTTATAGTTGAGCCTTGCCTGCTTGCTTATTTCCCCTTCCTGGGGTGCCTGACAGCTGAAGTAATTACGTGATCTGTATTCCACCCTTTGTATATTCATGTTTTTTTTCATGAATGCTGGAAGCTGTGAGTTTCCAGAAGCCTTACAGGAATGAGAGAGTCTTGTCAGTCCTTATAAAGATCAGAGCTCTGTCATATTTGCTCTAGTCAGAATCTAGCACAGGAACATAATAGTATACTTAAAATTGTCAGTGGTAATATTTTTTCTAGGTACTTTACATTCCAGATGCCTTATCTGAATTGTGTTTAGGACACATAACTTAAAGTCTTGAAAAGCAATGACAAGAGCTAAAAATCGAGATCTTATGGGATTCAAATTGGGTTAGAGAATCTGAACTCACTAGAAAAATCTAGGTCATATTCTTGTTCGTGCTTTCTCTAGCACCAGTGTAAATGACCCAAGAAATTTCTCTGTAGACCCTCACCCCACTTTTAGAACAAAAATTTCCCAGCTGGATGGGAATCTAGTGTATTTTTAACAGATATTTTATTCCTGTTTCCCAGTGAGAAGAAGAGAAAATTAGAAACGGCAAGAGGACCCAAGCAACTTAAGAAGAAATTTAAGAAGACTAAAGACCTAAAGCAGAAGTGGAAGAAATGACTTTAAAGCCAATCAGTGAACTTGAATTAACGAGTGACGGGTCTGTACTTAAGAAGTACTATTCTCCTTTAAATCAAAAGACTTTCTTTGGGGGAGTGAGAGCTGGAGGGAAGGAAAAGCCTTAGAGGCATTTTTAAAGTGTTTGTATTACGGGAAGGAACAGTGACACTGCCAGGAGACAAGTCTATGAAGATTTTTTATGAAGTGTGAGGTGCTGTGCAACACACTGGGATATTATGAGGGTGCTTTAGCAGCTACAGAGTTTCCATTCAAAGAGGGCAGATCAATCTGTAAACTCTCCTGCATCTTAATGATTGATGTCTTTATTAAAAAAGAGTTTGGACAACAAAGGATAGGAATGTGTTAGGCTTTGGTCTGTGATTCTGCCTTTTGGGATTGCAGCATATCTTGATGGAGGCAGCTCCTGGTTCAGTAGTACCACCACTCCTTTGTAGCTCGAGGGAGTTTTCAGTGTGAACGACGACTGAGTTTTTATTTGGGGCTGGCTATTCAGTGAGCACTGACCACGTTGTCCATTCAGGCCCACGATGTGGTCCTTGCTCGCAGGAGTTCAGGGTGTTCAATGAAGGCTGCTGTTTTGGAAGGCAGTCTATAGTTCCTGCTTACTGTGCTCCTCAAGAAGCTGTAATAAAGGCGGCTCTTTTGCATTCACACTTGTTTACAAGGTCTCAGCGTTCCCATAGCTCGGTAATTTACATTTCCTAGTTCTCAGGCAGGGTAGTGTGATTAAAAGGTGCTGGGGAAGCTGTTCTGGCCATTCGGTCTGCCTGCTCTCTGCTGACCTAGAGCTGCTGTTTGACTTTGGTGGAAAGTTTTGTGTTAAGGTCACCAGGAAATCAGCACTATCACACTGACACCTGGTCTTAACGATCTCTCTGAGCTTGGGGACCAGTTGAGCAGGCAGGCCACAGAGCTGCCCAGCTCTGTTACTGGCAATAAACACATACCAGTCTGGAGCTGGGACTTTCTGTGACCGTAGTGCTCTAGTCTGCTGCTTGTCAGGCTCCAGAGGCTTCAAAACCAGGACAAACCTTTGACAGAAAATGTCCCTGTCCCAAACCTTTGACAGAAAATGTTCCTGTCCCAAACCTGCTCTGCTGAGCTCTGTCCTGACGTTCCAGATTCACACCCTAGAGGTTTGGAACAGAGGGACTGTCCTACAACTGATACACAGCTGCATTATATTTACTTGTAGATCTCATTTTTCCAGCAAATCCTTGAAGAAACAGTGTTGTTTTCCTAGGTAAAGCCAGTATTTCTTCTCTAGGAGGCTGTTTTTTGAAGCATCTATATTAAGCATAGGCCTTGCACAGCCTCTGTACACCTTTGCTTAGCAAGTCACTGTGTGAGAGTCCCTGGCAAGGGCACATCCCCCTCACTTGGGGCAGCTGAGCCCTGAGAAGGGAGATCTGCAGCTGCAGCTCTTAAAGTCTTGATGAGGGGCCTTATTATCACCCAGCTGTGTGAAACAGCAGCATTGGCAGCCTGCAGGGATGAGGTGGTGGCTGGCTGCCTTGAACCAGCTCTAAAGAAGTTGTAAAAGGAGCAGACATGGAAGGCAAAAAGCACGAGGCTCTTCACAGCTGCTTGGGAAATCCTCAGAAGAAGAGGTGAGTGTGAATTCTCTCTGTTTTTGCTGTTGTTATTGTTAAAAATAGGGTAAGTGGTGGCCCTGCTGGGAGAGGGGTGAAGAAGTACAACCCCTTGCTGCTGTCTGTGCCTGACAGTCCTGAGAGACAAAGAACTGTGGTGTTACAGTGGGCTGGGGCAGGAGGGGCTGCAGCGAGTTCTGGAGCACTTTTGGGGGATACCTGTAGGACTCTTGGTTTTCTAGTGTCTTGCTTTGCTCAACATAGAAGCCTCTTGAGTTGGGTCACATTTGCCTGATGTTTATGGTAGGAAAAGGGGTTTTTTATGGATTGTCCTAAGCCAGTCACATCCTTCAGGCAGCTGAGGAAGGGACAACAAAGATGTGCTTGAAGTGGTGGTCAGGGAAAGGACTGGTATCAAATGGTGACTGAGTGACTATCGTGGGCTTGCCCACTCCATATGCTCTGCTTAGTGAGGTTCAGCTGTGGTTTAACAGGCTGCAAGGCAAAGCTTTAAACACTCACAGAATCCTTTCCAAGTGTCTTGAAACTTGGCACTAATAAAGCAGCAGTAATTATTTCAGATTCTCTAACCTATGCAGATTGCTGGGTTTGTTCACCCAGGTGGTTGCATTTCACTTGCTCTGGGTCTCACCATCTCCTAAGTGACGGTATCAGAAGGCTCCGTTTTATTGCACGTTACTACTTGTGCGAAGAAAATGCTGATTGAACTTCCTTAAAACATAGAAGTGGTGTAAATTACAATGTGTGTCTCGGGAGGGCTGTTAAACTTCAGTTCTACTAATAGGTTTAAAACTAAGGTTTAAGAGAAGTTTTATTATAGAACACCCATGTGCTGTTAGGGCTCAGAAATTGGTTTGTGTTTTTTAATGGCTAAGCTGAGGGTCAGATAGCCAAGAAGTTAAAAAAAAGTTCATATTTACATGAAAAAATATGTCAAAGTTTCTGTTTATTTATAAGGCTGTGCTAAATGTGTATGAATTTGACTGTCCTCTGCTTCTGCTGGGGCTGTGCCAAAGCTGTCCAGGGGACCCCCATCTATGCTTGGCTGTGATGAAGCTGTTGCTGTGTAAGCCTTGAAGTCACACAGAGGTTTCTGGTTGTTTCAGGAAATGTGGTCTCCTGCAGCAGTGATAAAAACTGTCACACCTGACTTACTTTCCCCAAAACAGCATCAGTATATTGGACACATTCAGGATGACAGGCTTTAGGTAGGAGCTGATGTATGAAAATATCTATAGTCCAGCAAGACTTGTGGTAAACTGTCTGTAAATCAAGGTGTGAGAGGTAGTAGGAAAAAATAAAGTAGATTCTTCAAGCAGATCAGACTTTTACTGTTGAGCTGAGATCTCTCTAGAGCTGCTTCCACCACTTTCTGTTGGCTGTAGCAATTCTCACTCTCTTGTCTGAACTGGGTGTGCTGTAGTTGCTGTAAAAGACTTGGAGGATTTGAGCTGTGTGTGCCCCTCCATTCCTGAGTGGGAGCTGTATTTAAGGAGAATTTTGCTATTCCTACAGAAAACGTGTCTGTTCAGTAGAACCATTCTTTTCCAGGTTTTCCATGTACATTTTATGATTCCTGGCAACTTTTTGGATTCCTCTGCCTGTCTATTGCTCTTTGAACAGCAAAGTGGAAAAAAAGCCCCTTCAGATACTAAAATAAGTGAGAGATGTGGATTTTTATTTTTATTTTTTTAACAAGTCTAGTTGAGGCACATTTTCCTCTGTCTGTGCTTTCCACCAGTCAAGCTGGGTTAGAATTCCAGCTTAGAGTAAGGGCTAGTTGAACGCAATCCAACAACAAAGCCAGAACGCAGGTCTCTCTGTAGCCAGGAGTGCACTAAAATTGCCACGTGAGAGCGAGTTGTGTATCTTTGAATTTTAGGATTGGGTTGGTTTGGTTGGTTTTCAGCCTGTTTCTCTCCAAGTAGAGCAGGTTTCTGGTCTCTTGGATCCCCTGCAGATGGGGCTGTGAATGCTCGAAGGAGCCTGGTGTACAGGTAATTGCAGCCCGTGCATTTAACAGCAGGCAAAGCCTCCTCCTGTCCTAGTCAGGGGGACAGGGCTCTGCACAACCCAGTAACCACATGGATTAGTGTCTCTTTTAAACCTACCCAGTCAGTTTATGGCCTTTTTCCAGTGCTCCCTGGATCACTGGTTGCTGCAGGTTCATCTTTCCTCCTCTCCTGTGCCCAAGTGAACCTGTTCCCCTGCAGTGAGGGAGTAATTGGAGGGAAATGGGGAAGCCACACCGAGCTGAGCAGCTCTCTGCAGGTGGTGGGTAGATGTGACCTACTTGTCAGTGGAATCATCCTGCTCGCTTGGCGACCCGTGAGCTATTTTGACAGCTGGAGTGAGCTGACCTCTGTGAAGTATCAGGGAGGAAGTAAAACCAGTGAAGCTGAGGATCTTCCCTGCTGCTGTGAGCTGGCTGCGCTGTCGGGAGGGCTCTCACCTCCTGCAGCTGTGTGAGGGAGAAGGGAGCTGTCTGGGCAGGAAAGGTTGGTGTGCTGGATAAGGGCAAGGCGTGCAAGGGGCAGGAGGAAGTTGTGTCTTTTCCATTTGGCCATTGTGATACTGCTTTGGGAGTTTTTTTCCTTCCACAGCTGGATTTTTGTTTGACTGTGTCACTACATCTTCCCGATGCAGTCTCAGAATCAGGAGCCTGTCTCTTGGTAAGGGCCCAAAACTGCAGGCACCTCGTGGTGTTTGTTAGACATTCCAAGGACAGCTTTGTTTGTTAGCAGCATGGGAAGGCTGAGGATGGAGAGAGGGATACAGGCAGCCTCCTCCTGACTGAGCTCAATGTGGAGACAGGAAATAGGGTGAAATCCTGTGCTCAGTCTCCTGAGCTGTCTGGCCAGTCAGTGGTGTGTGAAGTGACGAGCTGGGATGGCCCCATGGCGAGGGCTGTGCTCCGGCCGAGCTGTTGGGAACTCACCTGCTCGTTTTCTAGTTCCCATCAGGAGGGAAATGGACAGTGCTGAGGTGACTCCTGCTTTGGGGCTGGGCCAGCCCATGTTGCTGCTAACAAGGCCTTTTCCCTGCTGTCCTGTGATTTTTTTCCTCATAGAACAGAAACCTTTTTTTCCTGCCCCTCTTTTGCTGAGTGCAATATTCTTCTTTTTCTTTTTTCTTTTTTCCCTGTGGATTAATGGATCCCTCATACTCAAGACCTGCCCTGTGGGGAGGCAAATCTCACTTTTGAGTCCTCTGCCACCAGCAGTGGTGACAGCAGCTTGCTGCCCTATTCCTCAAGGGAGTCACCGCTCTCCTCTTCCTCCCTCTCACATCTCCTTGGCCGTCTCCCTCACGGCAGGTGCAGGGAGGGATGTCTGGTTGCTTGGGCAGCATTTGGTGAGGGCAAAGGGCCAGTGAGTGGTGGGGCTGCATTAGCCGGCGCTTGCCTGCTGTGCAAAGGCTTATTGTAAAGCAAAAAAGGTTTTATTTTAGCCTGAGAGTCATCAGCATGTTCAGGCAGATGTGTGAACTCTATTTATTTTCTCTGCTCTATGAAATGATCTAATTATGACCGGCAAAGTTTTGTGCTTCCCCAAAACTGGGCAAACTCTGCTCTGTTGCTTTCTAGGCCTTCAAGGGCAGCACTCTATAAAATAGAGGTGATAGGCAACTAGTTTCCTAAGAAATTTCTATTTAATCTATTTGTTAAAGTGCTCCAAAGGGAATCTTTAAGTGTTTGTATTCCATGATTCCTGAGAACAAGTCGGTGTTGGTATTGGTGGGTTTCCAAGTGTGCTGGTGTAGTGGCACAACACAAGAGAAATCACCCCTCGTGTCTCATGCTCAGCAAATTTCTCTTGGATCATGTAAATCAAATGCTAAGTAATGCTGGTGATGACAACTGCTGCTGCAAAGAAGAATCCTAGAATTTTTCTTAGACACCACCATCTGCTGCTTTTTTGATGAAAAGCAGGTAATTTCAGCAAGGGAAATGCAAGTTAAACTTATTACTTTAAAAAAAAAGAAGTTTGATCCTAGGAAGGGGAAACGAATGCCTCTTTATCTCTTGTTTTAAAGCATAACGTTAGGGTCTATCTACCAAAACAAATTTAACATGCTAAAACTGCAACTGCCTGTTCCACAGAAGTGACTTTAAACATGGTTTTTGTTAGAAGAGCAGAATAAATAACAGCAGCTGTGTATTTTAAAATTACGTTGTTAATAAAATCCCGGTACATTTACATAAATGACAACATTAATGTACAATTAACAAAGCATTGTAATATTACAGCAACAAAAGAGGACCTACATATTTGTACAGATAGCTGGAGCAGCTACTTGAAAATACTTTCCAAGATAAAGCCTCTTGTGGTATTTTTCAGGCAGACCAGTGATAATTTTGAAACACCTGTATGGCTTTCTGCTAATAAATAGGATTATTGAAGCTGGTGATCTTTGAAAGTGGATGTGTACCTAGAGCACAAACGGGAGTGTGCCCCGACCAACTCGTCTGTCAGCTTATTGAGCCTGGACTGACCATTCTCAGCCTTGTGTGCAATTTGCCTTTGGTGTAAATCCTTTAGCAACGCGGCGATGTCAGATTTTGATGGATTTGTTGGGAGATGTTGGAGTTTGTTCTCCTTCCCTTCATCTACCTAAACTGTGTCTATGTTGTGATTTGGAGCTTGGGCCCAGCTGAGCCTCCTTCTTTCAGTGTATTTAGTTCCGATATTAACTGTTAAATTTCTAAAGAGCATTAGTTTTCCACTGGCTTGCTCTTCTCCTTCACCCACCTATAACAAATGAAAGTGTCTTAGCAAATGCTTTTGGTGGGTGCTAACAAAGATCAGTGGGAATATCTGAAGGTCTTTCCTTAATGCTGTTGGTAAGAGCAAAATCTGTGTTTTTACACAACTTAACTGCTTTCCCCTGTTTGGGGAAAAAAAAAAAACCCCACACAAAAACATCGCTTCAAAAGTGTAGCTAGAACTGCCTCGTTTTAGTTCTCCTAAGTCACCCAGAAGAAGGCCTCAAATAAGTCCTTTTGGACCAGAAACATCTGTCTGCTGTGAACAAAGGAAAAATGTGACTCTGGGGCATTTGAGTTGAGGCATCTTGTTCAAGTGCTGCTGCCTAAACGTTACAGTGCAGCCAGCCCCTGGGAACCAGTCGGGTGTGCGCTGTGCCCAGTCCGCTCTGAGGTAGCACATCCATGGATGAGGCTGTGGAAGCGGAGGCTGGAGGTCAGAGCTTCTAATCCCAACCAGCTCCAGAGAGAGAACAAACCTTCAAGCTGTAGGGTCTCCCTGAGGGTCTTAGGGAGACTGTTATTGCTATTGATGCTACTGGACAGTTTTTCAGCATAGTGCTGGCTCCTACTACACCTGAGTCTTTTAGAAAACGTCTTTCATGGTGTCAGGTCTCACAGATAACGTTCAGTAACAGATTATTTTTTAAGGTGAAAGTGATTGGGACTATCAAACCTTGATAGTAAAAGGGTAGATAGTCTTTTTTTTTTTTTTCCCTCTCCTCAAAATGGATCCAGATTAACAACTAGCACAGTGAAACTGTATTTAAAAAATACAGAAAACCAATTCTCCCCTCCCTGCCCCAGCTCAGTTCTTCATCTTAGGTTTAAAGAGTGAGTAATTTCAGAGTTAGTATTAGCTTCTACTCAGCTTTGAACAGCTACAAAATCTCTCTCTCAAGGTGCAAACAGTTTGGGGAAAACTTATGTCAGAGTTTTGCCATGTATAGAGACTGGTGTTTATTACTATAGTGGAGCAGTTGGTGTCCCCCAGCCTGTGTGTTCAGACAGATGCCGTGTGGAACGGGCAGTGGTCCATAGGACTAGAAAACTCCTACGCAGCCTTTTTACAAGTAAAACATCTAAGTGTATGAACTAGGTGGCCATTGTGGTGTGTGGACAGACGCTTAGGACTAGATATTGGGTGTTGGGTGTGGGTCAGTCGCCTCAATTCTCTACAGCCCTCGTTGGAATGGCGGCGTTGATCTTCTCTTGGGGTCAGGCTCTTCACTTGCATCCTCAGTTCTTGTTTGCGCTGTGACAGTGTTTCTGTGACAGTAGTAGCACAGAGAAGCCAGCTCCCCCGCCGTCAGCGGGACGAGGCACACAGCACCTTTGTCTCTGTTGTAGGGACTTTTAGCAAGATCCAGAAGGCAAACAGGAAAGCCAGAGCTTTGCCTGACGACGCATCCCCGTGCGGTTTGAACCAGCGCTCCTGCCGCTGCCGCCTTCCTGCCTCACACCCTGGAGGTGACGTACACGGAGTGCAGGCGGCCGGCCAGGGCTGTCTGCAAGTCCCGCAGAGGGTCCAGGCCTTGCACTTTGCTGTTCCTGCTGTAGATCAGCTGTTTGAACGAGTCCTGTTCGAGAAGAGAGCTCATGTGTTTGAGGAAGAAGCCTTCACAGAAAGAGGCGAGTTCAGGCGCGTTGTGAATCTGCGGGAGAGCGGGAGATCAATTAGCCTCTTCACTGTGTCACAGACTTAAAGGATGTGCCTGAGCTTCATTTCTAATGCTTTTCCATTTAATGGTTTCTAAGCCAGAAAAAGGACAATAATAACAGTGGAAGAGCACTGAAGGGAGGACCAGTGATGGCTAATAATTTTTTTTTTTGGTGCTTTTTGCAGGCACAGGTGCAAGCAGGGAGGCATTCAAGCTCTTTTTAATTCCTTCCCCTGATGGCCTGCTGTTGGCAGAGCCACTGGCCTGTGTTCCAGTCTCTTCCCCTTAAAGGAGCAGAGCAGCTGGCTGATGAAGTGGCCAAGATACCTGTTTAGCTCTGCAAGCAGGGAGTGCGTGTGCCGCAACATAAAACGCTGCGCTGCCAGATGGCACGCACGGCTCGTGGCAATAAGATGGTTCATACGATGTGAACTAACTCCTAGAAAAATGAGCTGAATGTTGGAAAATAGAGATGTTCCGCTTCTGAAACATGTTAGGTGGGTTTCTGGCTGTGATCTGGTTCCCTTTGCTTCAGAACCAGTGGGGGAAGCTCGGGAATAGGAGAACAGTGAAAATAAAGTTCAGTATTAAGAAGCTTGGTGCACATACACCCCCATTTCTGGGAACTTTGTGCAAATAGTAATTTAAGAGAAAGTACTAAAGGCCAGTAAGGAATGCTCCTTCTCTCTACCACTGCATACTGTTAAATTGAGAGAAACCAGCCTGAGTTCCATCAAAAAAATAAAAGTAGCCCAGTGTGAGAGTGGGGAGTGGAAAAGGCTCAGTGAGACACTACGCACAAAGTAAACACGTGCCTCATTATCAGCCCTTTATGTCGTCTTTCTGCTTGTCTTTGAGGGATCTGACCCTGTAAACTTCCAGGAATGGCAGAGTATTTCTCTTATGATTTTGTTGATAATGTGGGTTATTTGCTGTAGAGGTGAATATCTGTGTCACAGAAGAATTTATGCCAGTTCTGGAGCTGTAAAGAATATATTTTAGCAGTAGGAGTGCTAGGAAAGGGTTTACTACTTAGTTGCTGTCCTATGATCGATTGCTCCTGCTGCTCGGAGGATTTGAATCTCTCAGGCTTTGCTGATGTTGCTCTATCAGCCTGCTAAGTCACCTCGCCCCTGCTCTGTAGGGATCTCGCATCAATTTCATCCATGATTGCTTTAGACAAGAAAACACCCTAGAACTGTGTAGGACTTTACAGACTGGAAACAGGAATACAACATCTCACTTGTGGTTGCGGTTGGAGTAGAGTTACCAGCATAGCAGGTGCCCACTCTGTGTCTGTTGTATTGAGTTACCAAAAGGAGGCTGCAGAAAGGCTGCACGCTGTTTCATTGTCACCCTTAAATAAGGCAGTTTGGCACATACCTTGGCGTATTTGTAGATGTTCACAGAGTTCTCCATGCTGATGGTCTGGGCGCAGAGGATCTCACAGTGTCTCTGGAGGCCGTCCAGTTGAAACAGGCTGGCAGCTGACAACAGCTATCAGGACAAGAGAGAAGCTGTTTGAGATCGTGAGCCTTGAAAAGCTTAGGGAAGGCAAAGGGACAGAACTGATGATTTCCTCTCTGAATGATCTCTGACTCCTTGTTTTAATGGCTGAATCCTCATGAAACAGCAAAAAGGCTTAGCTAAAGCAACAGACAGGTTTCCCCCCTTAGCAAAGGCCGGCTCCTCCTGCAGAAAGTGCGTTTCTGCTGCCTTCTGTCACCATGACACATGAGCTCTGGACTGCTCAAAGCCCCTTTTCCTCTCCTCAGAAAATAGTTGTGTGTAGTCTTTAGCTGCAGGCTTTAATCTCCCCAGATTGCTTGTGACTGAGCAGCGTTACTGTCAAAGGGCCTGTTTTTAACGGGGCAGTGCTCTTAGTCCTGGGTCTGTGTCTTTGCAGTAGCACCAGCTGCTCTGCAGAAGTTCACCTTGAAATCAGTTGTTTCTCTACCATCTCCAGCCCCTTGGTGTTTGACCTGCTGTGGGCACCAGAGCTGCTCAATCAGCTGCACCTTTTCTGTGCCCCATCAAAAAACAGGGCAGCACCTCTGCTTCCTTCTGCCAGGACAGAGAGAACTGGTGCAAAGGAGGCATCTACCCAGCTCTGGGTACCAAAAGCACCGTAGTGATTTCCCTCCCTGCCCCCAGCATCTCAAGAACACAGTAAAACACAGCTGGTAGTTCTTATTTCCAAGCAATGGTGTTTTGAAACTTTAAGCTCATTTCAAAGTGTTAAGTATAGTCCTGGACCTGAAGCTTGCTGTTAGCGCCTGGATTTTGCCTTTCAAGCTCTGTTTATGCCCCAGTGCACTTGGCAAGAATTAGAAGAAAACATTCTCACCTCTAAGATATCGGTGGTGGGAATTTCCATAGATTCTGTTCCTCCATAGTACAAATACTGCATCAGCATCTGCAATGGGAAGAAGGCCAGGCATGAAGCTGTTATCGCTGCACTCACAAGAGGCTGTGAACGGCCGAGCTCCCCTTCCTGAGCAGACGGGAATCCTGCGGTAACGCTGCCTCTCGCCTCCACTCTTGGCTTTTTTTTTTCCCCCTAGTGTTGCAAATCTGCTGCTTTCTAATACTCTTTTCTTCCTTGGTCTCTGAAAAGGGCCCTGTTGAGGATTTCAGGCCGAGGGTGACAGTGTGTCTCTGAGCAACACCAATGTCCTTGTAAAACGGTTCCTGGGATCGGGTTTTGTAAAGCGTCACAGGCTGGTCACACACAGAGCTGCCAGTGAGAGCTGGGAGCAGTGAAACTGCCCCACCATGAGCATGTGTGGCTCGGGGACCTCCCAGCCACTTGCCTCCCCTGCTGTGCTTCTAATCAGCTTCCAGCCCTCCCCTGCTCCCCACCAGGGCCAGAGGAAAAGGCCTAATTGTTTGCAGGGAGAGTGAGAGGCAGCTTCTGCTCTTTGATCTACATGTGCACACCCCCAGCTAAACCAGTGCTGCCTTATCTAGGGAACGAGGAGACTTGGTGTTGGGAGGAGAAGACTTGGTGTTGGAAGGAGAAGATATTCCAGTGTCCTGGGTGCTGTGTAAGCAGGTGTGGGGACTGCAGGATGTGCTTTGCATTTCTCACAGTATCAGAAAAATAAGCTGCTACTTTTACAATTGCCTTATGTAGAGAACAGAATTCCAGGGAAGCAGAGCTGCTTTCCAGCTGAGCCCGGAGCAGAACACAGATCCCTGGTGGCTCAGTGTCCTCCAAGCCCCATAATTGTGATTGCTGTAGAATGCTATCAACTCCTTAACTTGTCTGATTTTATTTACCATCACGTTGTTTAATTCCATGAAGTATTTCACTGTTTAATTCTTTTGAATTTGTTGCTCTCTCCAGTGAAACAAAAGTTTCTCTTGAGAAACCTTTTGAATTAAAAGTGTTGGTAAGGAGGCTTGTTTCAATGTATAGTTACATTTTCTTTTCTTCTGTTATGGCTGCAAAATCAGTGTCATCTATCCAACACAAAACTTGGAGAGCCCCTTTCAAGTAGAACAAAGATGATGTTATAGTCAACTTCATCCCTCTATGTGGGATGACCAACAGCTTTGCTATTTTGTTTGCTTATAAAAAGCCTCAGTCCTGTAGTGCAACAGTTACACAACCTCTTGTGCACTTCAGATTTCCCTGTTCTGTACCTTTCTCCCAAATCTGAAATGCAGATCTGGAAAGCTGGAGCAACTGAGCTATCGCATTTCACTGACTTGTTTTGTCCCTTGGGTGTGTGTTAAGTAACCTGTTTTCTCTTCATCATGAATGAACCTCTCTGAGGTCCATTAAATACAGAAATGTCATAAAAGCAAAGTGCAGTTCTCAATTCTGAGCCCTTCTTGAAAGGGACACCACTGATTTCTGATCATCTGATCTGAATTAATATGAAGCCTGACAGTCCACCTGCTGTAAATAATTTTACTTTTTCCTTAGCACAGCATGAAAATGGTGCCTTAAAAAGTATGAAAATGGTGTCTTAAAAGCATAAAACTACTTTCTGCAGAAGAATAACCAGTTTCTTCTGCTTTATGGAGGAGTCAGCTGCCTAGTAAGAAAATAAGAATATGGGCTGGAAGTTTCTGTTTTAAGGTTGGTCCTACCTGGAAAATTTTGCCAAAGATCAAAATACTCCTGAAATACAGGTGTGTTGAAATGAACTTCATCTCTACTTGTAAATTAGCTGTGATATTAAGCTTAGCCTTAGCTTCCAAGTACATGAGAAGATGAAAGGGATAAAGAAAAGGCAGAGTAAGTTACATACCTTGAAAATATTGTATTTCATATCGCTGATTTCGACAGTCTTGCTGCCATGGCTGTCGTGTTCCGTTTTATTGGTCATTAGCGTCTTAAACCTGAGAAGGGTTTTAATAGATTTCTGTATTAGTGCTTCACATACTCAGCACTGATTCACAAACAGCCTGAGCAAGGGGAAAAGAAAGATCCTTCCTTGTTCTTGTTTGCAAGTTGAAAATTGGAACATTTCTTTTAGTTTAATGCAATTAGTTTAGAACTTCGGGGACAACTGAACCTGGAAATTGCTTGTGACTCATCTAGTCCAAGTCTGTAGCAGTTGGAAAGTGCTGTTGCTGTGCCAGTAACAGAAAGAAGTGAGTAACTGTAAGTGTACCAGGTCAGGGAGGAGAGTTCCAGGAAATGTGGAGCAAGTGTAGCTCCAGCTAGCAAACTCTTGAGAGGAGGAAGGGGAAGGCAGTGAATGTTTGGATGCGAACACGCCAACTACTGCACAGGTTTTCAGGGATAATTACTCATTAGTTTATGTCAGCACAGCTCTGGGAATCTCTAACACATTCGAGGAGTGGATTAAAAAAACTCATCTTTACTCTCTTACTATTTTTAACACTAGCAAAGAAGATGGGGCCTGGTCCTGCAGACCTGAATGATGATCTGTTGTATTCTGAGCAGCTGCCCTACTGCAGTGGGTGAATGAGAACTAGTGACACAAGTGAGAGACTAAAGGGGCCAAACCTTCCTTTAACCATCTGTATTCAGCTGTGGAAAGTGACTCACCTGTTTGATGCAGTAACCAGCAGGACTTTGTGTGCATAAAACAGCTTTCCTTCTACTAAGAAAGTTACATCAGACATTTCTTTATTGTTTAGAAAGTGAGGATCTGTTAGGGTAAGGAGGAAAAATAAAAAGGAGGGTGAATATTAATATTTTTTTTGAAACTGTGGATGCTTTTTCCTAAAAAATAAATAAATAAATTTTTAAAAAAGACCATTTAGGTGAGGATCTTACCCAGCCGAGCGGGCAGCGTCTTTCGGATTTCAGGAATGCTGGGTATCGGACTGCTGCCGTAGCAGTGGGTGAAGATGGATGCAAGCTGCTGATTGATAGAATCATTCTGTAAGGAGGACGGAAGAGGAATTGAGCACGTTTCAGACACGCTGTAGCAGTTCACTTGAGGCTTATAGCAACTGCACCCTACAAAAATAATCTCCAGAGGGACAAGTACGTGAACTGAACAAGTATGCTGTGACAGAATGCTCTCAGCAACAGTTTACAGACCAACCTCTGGCAAGGGAAAAAAAGTCCATGGGCAAAAGCTCATCCTTCTGCTTGCTCTGTGACCGGTAAGCCCACGAGCATGTCCTCAGGAAGATCTGAACAAAAGCATTGTTCAGAAACCTCCCAGAAGATACTACTGAGAGAACCTGAATTGCTCAGCACTGTATTGAAAACTCTTCCTTTTACATTCACATGGTTTCAAAAGCCATTTGCTGAATGGAATAGCTTTCCCTTCTGTTGAAACTCATGTCTTTACTGTGAGGACTGCTTTTGTGGGCAGTCTATACATTTAGATTAATTAAAATCTATACATTTAGTATTAATACTATCAGGCTCGTTTTCACCCCAGAAGTCATTAAGCACTTTGCATAGATCTCCACTTGTTCATGCTGTGCGCAACTTTTACAAGAGCAAAAACGCAAACGCTTGACTTTGATACTGTCACCACTCATACTTACTTTGCTGGTTTTGAGGATATCAAACATGAGCTGCAACCCTTCATTAACCAGCTCTTCGTTATAGTCCTCTTCCTTAATGGTGACAAATTCCCGTAAGAGGGTCTGTACGACTGAGTAACGAGACTGGTAGAAGGTTGTCCGTAGAGACTCGATCCACACGTGGAGCTTCCACGGGACTCCTGTAGCCACAGCAAAAAGGACGGTGACAGATTATGATTTGCTGAAGGGGGTAGATTGTCCTGCTGCTGTTACTAACACTTAGTGGCACTGAAGTAGATCTTTACGTACATCTTAACTACAGATACATTTTTGTCTTGATATTAAAGATGACTGAACTGGGTCACTGACAGTTCAAGTGATTTATCTACAACAGCAGAGGACTGGTACCAGGACCGTAAGTTGGAACTTTCTGCTGATTGTTAAGGACCAGAGACTCCCTGTTGTGTATTTAGCTTCGTGATTAGTCAGAACTACAAAATAAATTTGAACTTAACTTGTAAGAATACGTAGCCCTACACAAACATGGTGTGAGGTCTTTTCTCCTGGTTACCTGTAACAGTCTAGACACACAAGCTTCAAAGCTTCTTTCCTACCTTTAGATCAAATCTGTTCTTGCACCTTAAACCACTTAATCTTTCATGTTATCTTTGTTTTTGAGACCAGTCTCTTTAACATTGAATTTTAGGTGTCAGAGTTATCTGATGAAAAGACATGCCCCTTGCTTTTGATACTTGGGAACAGAAGATCTAACCAAAAGTGAGGGACATCCCAGATTAGTGGGAATTTGAAAAAAATAATGAGGAGCCTTAAACACTTTTCTATTTAAATTAGACAGCTGGTTCCCATAAGTTTGGGATAGCTTTGCACCGAGGTTACAGATACTTCTCCAAGTGAAAGGAGCAGAGGAAAAAGCTTTTCACACCTTAAATGTACACAATGATTAAAATAAAGAAAACAACCTTACCAAGTGCCCTGAGCTCCATGGTGATGTCTACGTAGCCGTGCTCAGCACTGTAATACATGGCCTCCTGCAGAGCCTTCATTCGGGTTTTGCAGAGCCTGACCTGCCCCTCGCTGGAGCTGCCCTGGCTGGAGGTGTCACTCTCCACTCCCTCCGCTAAAATCTCCTCCAGTGAGAGGACATCTCCCTTCAGTTGCTGGGGCTGGGTCAGGAGCTTGCGCAGAACATTCCTGAGGAGGAACAAGAGAAATAATCACTTACTAATAAACGAAATATCAACAATTCAGACAGGACTAGGGTGATTTGGGTTTAGGGGTCTGGCTTTGTAAATAATAATTTCCTTCCCAAAGACAGACAGCTGGCAGAGATGGAGCAGCATTTAAAACACTCACCCTTCCCTGTCCCACGTGCTAGAAATTGATGCCCTGGTCACGGGGGCAGAAGAAGGGAATATGCTCCTGCACCTCAGGGGTACCAGGGCACGTTTCGGAGTGTCAGTGCAAACTGGTTTTATTGCAGTCTGTACTTGGCAGAGAAGCACGCTTCCTTCTGCCAGCCCTGAGTGTGGTAACATCTTTAGCTCTGCAGTAAGATTTATTTGAACAGAGAGTCTCTGTTAGATCCCTTGCTGTTTCCCCAAATGACCATCTTCCAGCACTGTTATGACTGCGATGTTGTTTTAGTCAGACTCACTTCCTGTAGCAGTAAATAGAAACCATAAAAAAATGACAGTTCTGCATCACTAAATCCAGGGAGCATTTTTTTGTTGTTGTTGTTGTTTGGAATTTCACACAACAGTTGTAAGAAAGAGGCTGTCTTGTTTGTGTCCAGCAGCTTTAGAAAGCTTGCATCATTGGTGTCCCTGCAGACAGCTGGAGCCATCTGCAGCAGACATTCCCCATCGCAGCAGATCCACCCGAGTGCTCAGCGGTGACGCTGAATTCTCACCAGCTGGTGCTCTCTTTGCGCCCACACTACTCGGTGTGACTAAAAGAAATGTTAATTTTTGTGTTTTTGGATCACCCTGCCCTACCCCATTGGAGAATGAGCCTTACATTTCCCAGGTTGCATGGTTTGATGTTGTAGAAGATTGTGGGAGGGGAACAGAACTGGGAACAGAACAGTGTTTGTGTAGTTTACACGGTAAATATCTGCATTAGGCTGTTCCAGCTTTGCAGAGTTTGGGCCTTATTTGAGCTCGGGATATTTTCTTTCCCTGGTGTATCCAGATGTACCTGGAGGAGGAGTTTTGGCACCACTGCAAAGCACAGCTGTGTTCAAGCAAGGTAGCTACTATTTAACATGCTCCTGGAAGGGCCAGCTCTGCTCCTGGAGGACCCTGTGGGTATCTCTCAGCTCATCTACATGGGCGGTTTCAGGGCTGTTTTAATTGGCTTGTTACGCTAATATTTCTTTCTTGGAACAGAAGGATTTCTGGATGAGTTTCTAAGTAATGTCTTATTTCTAAATAACTACCCTTAAAACAGGGTTGGAAAGCCCAGGTTGGCTTTTCAGTAGTTTAATGACTGATCTGTTGGTCAGCTATCCTAAAACCAGAGATGCAGTCAACCAAATTCTGCCAACAGGTTATTTTTGCCGCCTTAATGTGATTAGATTCTGTCTCAGAACATGAACCACAATCTCATAACCTACCCACAGGTGGAACTGAGTCAGCTCATGTATGGCCTAGAACCAGCTCCTGCTCACTCTCAGTGCACAGAGCTAGACCAGCAAGTGAGAGAATAAGAAAAAGCAAAGATCTTTCCGTTGTATTTTGTGCTTTTGACTAAAATACACTCCCTTTCTTTTATCAAAGTTAGAACTGCTGAATAATGAGCCTTGCATCACTTTTTCTCAAAGGGATGTAACAGAGCCAACTACCTGTTTAAAGAATCTTTCAGTTCCCCAAAACATTCAAAAGGCACTACCTACATCCGGAGCGGAATAGTCTGAGAAACTGCTGCGCTACAGAGTGGTTGGGATCAGGAGTCTTAACACCATCTTCTGAGCTGCACAGCCAGGGTTTGGGTATAACACGTCATACAAAGCCACATAGGAATTGCCTACAGTGATAGCCTTAAGCAAAAAAAAACCCCAAAAACCTGTTCTGAACACGAACAGAGCTTTACCTGTGCCCATGTGCAGCCGAGTGACTGAAGCAATTCATATCTTCATGAAGTGATGAAGACATACCATTGACTTCCAGCATGCTCAGGAGTGGATCAGCGCCCCTGCTTAGCAATAAGCTCACCAACTCGTAGTTCCCTAGGAAAAAGAACAACAGAAACATAATGATTCCATGTCTGTCACCTCTTTGAAAGTGTGTAACATAGGACTGGTGACAGACACTGTACCAGCAACTTTTATGCCACCAACTAAGGCTTTGAGAGCATCCTGCAAGCACACATCAGTCTTCAGAACATCTCAGAGAGAAACTGAGTCACAAAGCACTTTACCTAATAACGCACAACTAGCTGGAGGCAGAATGAAAAGAGAATTAAACTGGTCTGGTGCTTTTGATACACACCAGCAGAGATGTGTGCAACCAGTTTAACCAGCATCAGCGTCTCAGCTGTTCAGGTGGTGGATGAGGTTAACAGAGAAGACACCCTGCAGACAAGTGTTGGTGCAGCCCTTGTTCAGCCAGGCCTCCCGTCCACTCTTTTCATGAGATGAGTGGTGACAAGAGACCCAGCACAATGAGTATCTGTCCCTGGGAGGGGAGGAGGGCATGTTTTTTATCCCTTTGATAAAGCTTGGTTAAGGGCAAGCCAGAGACTCATCTTCAGAAACGCACAAAAGTGAATCAAAAAGAAATTAAGGGGGGGAAAAAGAAGTAGAAACAGTTAGAGGTGCAAAGTGCTGAAGAACAACAGGTACTTTTATGCTAGCACAGACTTGCTCACAGAATGCTGAACGCTTTTCATGACAGTTAGGTAGAAGAAAGGCAAAATTTTACTTGTATTTAATAAATTAATAAAACAAATTTCTTTATATAGCAGTTATTTTTCCCCAGGCTGAATTTAAACTTGTTAATTTTTTTTGCATCTGGAAGTTATTTAGATCCAAGACATGCCTCGACTAGACAGTAGCTGGTTTATGTTTCTTGACAGTGCCCCGTGCACAGGAGTTGTTTCAGCTTTACTATGGAGCCCGCTGGCAGGAGGTGAGTGTTGGAACTAGTTGCAAAAGCAGACGCTCATTTAGTGCCCATCAAGCTCTTGCCACACATGACGACAGCTCTTACTCGCTGCCAACCCAGTCAGGGTTCCTACCAGCCTTTTAGAAATGGAAAAAAATGCTCATTTTTTTTTAAGTAGCCAGCTCACTGTCCTCCCCCTTTGATATTTTTTCTGTGCCCACGGTACCTTAGAGCACAAAGTGACTCGTAACGTGTTTTACAGACACTGTCCCCCACGTGTGAATTGGTTGTGATTATTCTGTGGTAGCAAGAGCTGGAGTGTGCTGAGGCTGCCCTGAGCTTACCTGCTGCTGAAGCCAGCTGAAGCGGAGTCTCAGCGTAGTTGTCTTCTCCACTGTTAACAGCAGAACCCTCAACATGGGCACCAGCATCCAAGAGCAGCTGCAACAGCCACATGAAAGACAAGGAGTTGAGAAAAGAGCGTTTCAGAAAGACAAAACAGAAGAGGCTGTGTGTCAGAAAGGAAAACCCATAGATTCACAGTGAAGAGCTCATGGACACAAAGGGACCATCTCAAAGGCTAAAGCAAAATATCTCTTACAAGCCAAATTTCTCTTGCGTTTCCCTGCTCAGCCCAGGGCTAAAGTCTCCACATGAATGTCAGTTTAGAGTTTTCTTATTTTCTTTTGCTTTACTGTGCTTTCAATAGTGAGTTTATGCTGGAAAGGTGCTCAGCTGGCAGCTTGGAGAACATCACCTCCTTGTTGGGGGGTTTTTTTTAATCGTCTCCTTTATGAATGTGGTTTTGCAGTTGTAATTCCCAACTCCAAAGAGCTCTGCAATCAGAGCAGCTCTTCAGCGCAGGAAGTCCATCTTATTTAGTTTCACGCTGTGCTCAGGAAACAGGGATCCCCCAGGGAATGAGCCCTGGAGGCCAAACATACCTCTTGGTCTCTCAGGCTGGAGGCTCTGGCAGCTGCAGTGATTTGCCACACACAGAACCTGCTTTCACTGAAAGCACCGAGAGCTGCTTGAAAGGGAAATCAGCCCCCTCCCAGATAGAGGGGAGAAGGTTACAAGATGATGAGGACCTTGTATGGCCAGGTAGTGCTGGCAGATGGCATCGGGGCACCCAGAGCAGGTGCTGCCCCTCTCCCAGGGCAGGAGGATGAGCTCTGCCTGTGTGAGCATTGGCTGCGCGCAGGAGTCCAGCTCTGTTGTACAACTCTGTCACAATTTCACAGGAAGGTGATTTTAGACAGTGATTTCAGCAAAAGCTGACATCTGCCCTTTTAATTATAGTTGCTGAATGAAAAAAAATATATAATCTTTAGAAATTTTAACCAAAATAAAAGAAACAAACGTTGTGGGAAATGCAGTCCAACAGGAGCTCTGATACACTTGGCTACATCTCCTGGGAGAATTGCACTCTTATCTCCCATGTAAATGAAGGCTGTCCAATCTGTAATGCCAATTTGCCAGGTGGAATTAAGTCTTTGTAATTATTTACATCTGTACACAAACAAAAAATGAGTCTGTGCAGCCTCCATTTGCTTATATCTCCCCCCACACACACTTTTTGAGCAGAAGGTAAATGAAATTTCCCACCAATGGACTTATTTGCTGTGATCAGTTCTGAATTCCTCATGAAGTGCAGGTGGGATTTCTGCCTCCACCCCATTCTCCCCAGAAAAGGGAGCAGGGAGGATGCCAGAGGCTCAGCTCCCACGACAGCATAAGTCTAGTCTGTGCAATTCTCAAGGATTATAAATGAAGTTACAGATCATCTGCTGCCATTTGAGCAGAAATCAGCATACACTTAATTCTTGCATGTGTCAATGTATAAACCAATTAACATCTGATGTCAGAAAGCGCCCTGATGAGGCAGTCTGCCTGGAACCGCTCCAGATGAAGCACTAGTTTATCTAATACCAGAGAAATGATTGTGCAGCCTTGTTCTGGAAGTGGCCAACAATGAAACCAAAGAACAATAAGGAAACTTGCTGTGTTTTGTTATCAAGGCCTTGTTGGGAATTGTGTCATCAATTCCCAGTTGTCCAAGAAAAGCATCGGTTGCCTTCTCCTCATTTTCACAACATGCAATTCGCAATTTTTCACTGGTTTTTAGAAGGTTTCCACCAAACTCCATCACATGGAGCCCGTGACAGACACATGCTCAGGAAGCCCAACAGTGAGGGTGCTGCATCCAGTCCCTGTGTCCCTCCTGTAACATTCCCAGCCAGAGGATTTCCTCTGCTTACCTGAACGACAGAGATGTGTCCGTGTAACACAGCAAAGGTGAGAGCGGTCCAGTGCCGGCTGTCGGGGTGGACTGAAGGGTATCGTGGAGAGGTACTGGGAACCTGGCAGAAAGGATCAGGTCGTTAGTAACCACTGCAGCCTCTGTCTGCTGTAATCTTTAGACTTTTACATAACTGGCTTTTTCCTTTGTAAGTCACAACCCCAGGGAATGGTGACTTACGCCATTTAGAGAACACAGCCAGCGCTCGTCACTCTGGCCAGTCCCCTGGGACTTTTTAATGGGCTTACTGGTTTCTCCTTGTGGCAGCTCTTTCAGGAAGGAGGCCCCTTAACCCCACCGTGCCTATTAGACTTGCCAATGCCAATCATCACTGGAGCTGCTTGAGTGCTCCAAGAGGTTTTGAAGGTTTTCTTCCCCCTCCCACATCCCTGAGGTGATGGTTTCTGAAAGAAGGACCTTGCTCAGAAGCTCCCAGAAATGAAGCCTTCAGTTGCTAGGAGAGATTTCATAACTGCTTCTGTCAGTTTACAGGTGAATAATTATAGGGAGAGGGGTCTCTATTACTCACTGGTATGTCTAAATTTGCTCCAGCATCTATAAGCATCTGGACCATGGCTTCATCTCCAGCAGCACAGGCGTACATTAGTGGGGTCATACCCTTCAGGAAGAAGAAAAAAAAGGAAAGAAAGTTATTTTTCTGTATGTATCAACAGTGAAAGAGTCACAGACACAGTGAAAGTGTCACAGACACAGTGAGTTTGAATCGTGTGCAGGCACAGCATGTGTACATGCTGAAAACATGTTGGTTTCTATGCAGAGTGGGCACAATGCACTAGTATTGGAAAGTGACGTGGGCAAAACATCCAGGGACAGATTGCAAGAATACAAAAGGGATCACTGAAAATCCCAGCCATGGATTGTCCACGATTCCTGAGCTTTCTCGAAGCTGCCAAAAGAGAAATACCATTTCTTGCATCATTTGTAGCCAGATGAACCGAAAGCAGGAAACACCACAAAAATACATGAGATTAATTTATTTGGCAACTTTATCCCCACTGCTAAAATCCTACTTGTCACAATATTTCAGCATTTCAATCCCATAAATCTCTCTCTCTCTACTTAACCAGCAAACTATGATGGCTCAGAGATGAATTATGAGAGAAATGAGCCTTGCTTATGGAGATCATTCCAGAAGTAGCCAAGGACAGAAAGGAAATGGCCTAGTAAAATCCATTCACTCCAGCTTACCCCCACTTAATTATCGTGAGCGTTTGAATTTTTCACAGGCAGCATCTCTGCTGCTCACTGTGTAATAATACAGCTTGAGAGGGACATGTATTGTAAAATAGAATTACACCTCACCCAGATGAGTTCTGATCTTGTATCTGAAAAGCCACCTTTTCCAAACTGCCTCCATTCCAAGCTTCCTGCATTTGAGGCAGCTACATTTGCAAAGATGTTTTTTGGGGCAGGGGAGGATAGGTGGGTTTTTTGTGGGGCTTGAAAAGATCCACTCTCATTATAGACAAGTAAGCTGAGAATTCAAAACTCAGGTCTGCAGGCACAAGCCCGTATTTACTGCCAGTTCTAAACCTACAAGCTTTGTATAGACTTACCTTATCTTTTTTAAATTATTATTTATTTTTTAATATCAGTTTTGCATTCCCCATTTGTTCCTCAGTATGCAAAGGGAAGAAGAGATTGTTTTCCCGAACACCTCAAATCCTTTGAAACCCAAGTGCTGTTTGGTGCCCACTAGATATGAACGCAGGGTCCTGCTCCAAACTCAAGTTTCTGAAGATAGGCTCTGAGTCCTCTCCCTCTCTCTAAAAATAACTCCATGCACATACACATGGGAGTGGGTCTGAGCACACACCCCAGTACTGGCCATAATCACATTCTGGGAGTGGTGAAAACCTAAACCTGTGTGAGAAGTGATGGTCTTGGCATCAGTGTCTTTGGACAGTTAGGTTCACAATGGAAAATAATCTGCTTTGAGAGAACAAAAGGCCCCAGGGCTACATAAACAAGAACTGCAAAAACTTATGGGAAAAAAAATACAGGGAGTGGCAGAGCTTTGTAATATAAATGTGCCACCTTTGTCACTTAATAAAGTCAGTATCAAGGGCACCTATGATGTGATACCCATCTCTGTGACCACAAAGCTCCTAGTATGGGATATGGAAATAAGGCAACTACATACCTGGACAGAAGCTTGTGCAGGAGTATCTTCTGCACATTCACACCTCCTTTAAAGCTGCAGGATGGTGGAAAGCACCATGGAAGAGGTGCCAGTTTCACAATTAGGTCTGACATGCTACTGCAGAAAAATGCTGTCTATAAGGAAACCTCTCTACTTGAAAGCAAATCAAAACCTGCTGAATATCCTATTGTTTCTGAGACGTGACAGCTCATTCTCGTTGCTGTGACAGCTATGATGAGTGTTTATTTGGAAGACTTTTTTTTTTTTCTTTTAAATGAAAAGCTAATTCAATGCATTCAATGATGCCCCAGAGAACAGACTCTGCTGTTACTTGATGGGACTGACAGCACAAGTAGAAGCAGCTAAAGACTCCCCAGACTACCAAATCCCTGTGGTTCAACGTAGCCGAGCAGGGAACAGGTGAAAATGAAGAAACAGACACGTCAGCACGATGGACAAAGCGAATACTGAGTGATACCCACACCACTGGGGTTCTGGGTGCTGCTTCTTATACACCAGACTGTATTGAGAACGTATAACTCGCTTCACGCCTCAAAGCCACCAGACAGTAACACCTTTTGGTCACTCATCACTGACCCAGACTGCATTTAGGCTCTTGAACCAGAAGAGAGTGTCACTGGCAAAAACCACGTCGTTTTGACATTTTCTTAGCGTTAAGACAACATCAGACTTTCCATTCTTGGCTGGTGCATTAACCTGTCTTCCATCAGTGTCTGAGACAGGCTGTGCAAGAACAGACCTACATTCCAGCTGATAAAGAATTCGCTCCAGGCTTTGACTGGCTTTTTGGGGGTTGGCATGAGGGTGGGGTGGGTGCAGTTTTGGGGGGTTATTTTTTGGTTTTTAAGGGATACATTTTCAGACTAAAACACAAAGTACAATTAGAAAAACCTTGGAGAGGCAACCAACACTTATGACCTCGTCTATTGATTTGCCACACAGAAAGCAATTAGTTCATGCAAATTTGTGGATGCAAAGAATTAGTGTGTGTGTGGTTATGTGGCATACCTGATCATCCATGGTGTTAACCCCGTCAGGTCCCAGTGCATCGATTGCTTGGTTGATCAGATCTGTCCTTCCACAGTTTAGCATTCGGAAACCCAGATCCTGCTGGAATTTTTCAGTAGCAGCCTTAGCATCCAGTCTCCGGAAGGAACTAAAGCAGCATTCAGGTCTGTGAAAGACAAAATAATTTATGGAATTTGGTGATTTGGTTTTTTTGGTTGGTTTCTTTTTTAGCCTCATCTACAGAAATCAGGCCCATGAATTTTCATGGTTTTACCTGTCGTATACTTTCCCCACTGCATAATAATTTTTGAAAAATCTGGCTAAAAAAAAGAAAAAAAGAAAGAAACCAAAACCCCCCCAAAACCAGGAAATCAAAATCAAATGGAGGTAGTGGAACTTTCTCAACTATTTTCCAACCCCTCAATAAAAGGAAGTGCATTATAATTTCTATGAGGTTCTGTTAACCCGTTATCCTTTAGATGACTATCAAATGACCTTTATCTCATTTGGAAGGAGCCCAGGGATTACTGTAAATCCTCTGGTTTATCTGCTCAGAAACTTCTGAATTCCAAACCTGGAAGTGTATCTCCTTCACGGAAGCATCATGGCCAAACGGGAGGTGTTTCCTATCTCAGCTGGGCAGTGACACGTCAGCCCTTTGATGTTATTTCAGGGTGAATGCCTTCTCTACTAGTTGCCTGGTTTTCCACACAGGCTCTTGTGCAAACTCTCAGCAAGTAAGATACTAGCCTGCCAAGTTCCTTTGAAAAATGAGATTCTTTCAACAAGGCTAAGCTCTTCTGGAAACTTTGTATGGCTTGCCAGATAAGTAAACCACTCATCACTTCACCTAGAAGATTCAGGGTGAATCTTATTCACGTTTTAATTCAGCTGGTCATTTTTTAATGCTTCTGAATTTGCATTGATGGTGGATGACAGACGGTGAGCAGATGCTATGAACAATATGCTGAGTTAACAAAGATCCCTCCACAGCCTGGTGACCCATCACATTGTAGAGGGGAAACCAGCATCTCACCGCAGCTGCTCTCAGAAAGGAACTACATCAGGGTACAGTTTGGGGAACAGTCAGCAGGGAAGCAAAGTCACTAGCTCTTTGGAGATACATCTGCAAATAAAATGTGTCTTTGAGGCAGCAGAGTACATCAGAAGACAAGATCTCTGAAGCACCCAGACACTGGATGAGGACACATACAGTACAGAGCACAAGAGGACAGAAAGATAAAAGGCTTAAGACATCTATAAATCCTAGAGCCAGGCTAGTCAAATAATAATCTTGTTCTACTAAGGTAACTGTACAGTGTCATGATGCTACAGTATTTTGTAGAATATGATGCAATGACTTTGTACAATAATAATAAGGAGGAGGAGTAAAAGAAGAATCCTGTGCAAAAAAAAGTTAAATAAAATGACATCACTTGAAATCCAGTGAACCTCAGAAAATAAGTTTTTGAAGGGATGGTACTTGTCTTTGCATATTGTTTCCCTTTTGCTAATGGGCATGATTTCACCCAGTGCTATTTACTGGCACTGCTGGAACAAGGGTGGTGGGAGGACAACTCACCAACGGGCCCTGTTTTGAACAGCAAAACAAAACAGTTGCACAGAGCAGCAAAAAGGTGGATTGTAGTTCTTGGTGTGGAGCTGCCAGGAGGCCAGTTCAGGCACAAGAATTTGAAGTAATAATTTGTGAGCTTTACTCCTGGGGGACCTGCAGGCTCAGCCCATGCAAAACTTACTGTGCACTTGCTGTTCTGGAGTGGTGGCTTGACAGTGTGTGCTTCTGGGATAGATGCAAAGTAGCTTTTGCTTTTAGAGTGTGATAAAAGTTAGAGCATCTGACCAGAGCTGGGGGGAAAAGAGCTCACACATGCAGGACTGCTGTGCAGCAGCTGTAACCACAGCGGGTTTCCCATGTGTGAGTTGTTATCCTGTGGAGAAGAGAGGCAAACTCTCGCACGCTTCCGAGGGTAAAGCTCATGCTCCTGCAATTGCCAAGATAGCAGCTTCCATGGATGCCCAGCTGTGCCCAGGGAATAAACTGAGTTACTGAAGGTGGTCTGAGAGACATCCGGGAGGTAGAGCCCAGAGAGCAGGGAAAGGGACAGGGCTGAGGTTCCAGCTTGGAAAGGGACAGCTTGAAGAGGCAGCAGGAGCCTCGTGTGCTCTTTGGGTTTCATAACCAGTAACTGCTACAATAACTACTGGTAGCAAGTGATTTAAATTTGGCCTACAGTGAGGAAAAAAAATAATAATCATTTTAAAAAGCAGTGTGTGATAATAATTATATATAATAATATAAAAATATTCAAATCCCAACATCTATCTTTAAGTAGGTAGAAAAGAAACACAGTACTCTGCAATCTAGCATTGCCCCACTTCCAATACTATTTAACCAGTAACAGGTGAGTACTGAAGATGTTTATAACTTGTCTGGCAATCATAAAGTGAGAGCATCATATTAGAAGGCTTCATCCACAAAGACACAAACAGTTGTTGTGGAAGACTATACTGCCCAAGCAGTCTGTGTCAGAGAACAGATATTAAAGGTCTGAATTGCAGGTTATACTAATTATACTTGGTTCTCTTCTGCACAACTTCTCTTTCAGGGATTTCAACATACCCTACCTGGTGCATCACCACTGCAAGGAACTGTTATTATATGACTTTATCCTGTGAGTCATGAGGAAAAGTGAATTGCCATTTGCCTATAGTCACACAGCAAGCCAGGGATCAATTTGGCTTCAGTTCCAAGATTTTCTTCTCCCCTAAATGTGTTGTAATAGCTGATACAATCAACTGCTTTAAAGGGTCATATAATGGGCACTGGAAACAAGGCACTGCTCTCTCCTCATGGTTTTTTTTGCTGTTAGTTTAAAACTTCCATGCAACAAAAACACAATGCTCTTTCTCTCATGCCAAACATCACAGAACATCCTTAGACCTCTGAAAATAAAACTCAGGCAAGATAGTTCAGAACAAAGACCTGATCAAGCTTAACTTTGATTTTGTCCTTTGCTACAAAGATGATATGTGCTACTTCAAAGCAGAGGTGGTTTCACCTGCAGGGAATGCACACTGCATGTGTCCCTATGGAGGAACAGTTTGGTGAGGTAAGAGGTGTGAAAGGATCTTTGTTTTCTTGCAGAATTGCCGTTCTTTCTGTAATAACAACAAATTTGATAGAAATCTCTAACATACTCCTTCCCCAGGCTGGTACTGCTAACTCTTAACAACCCAGCAATCCAATTATCTTATTCCTGAATATTCCACATAGTGTGGCTGAGGCCCCTTATACCTGCTTCTCACTTTTATTTATTGCCTGCATTATTTTGGACTTCCTGGGTTTCAAGACTTTCATTTCATAGCTGTATCATTATGGCTTCAGGTTTAAGTCACTGAGATGAACCCCATTTTCACAGTGTTCTGTCTGTAAGTGTTTCCTTTTAGCTCACGTCAACAGCAAAATCAAGCACCCAAATCCCTGCCCTCTTTTTTGTTTGGGTTTTTTTTTGTTGTTGGTGGTGTTTTTTTAAGGTTTATGATCTATAAAGTATGGGACTGACTGTGCTTTGTATGTTAATATGCACCAAGAAAAAAAGGTGCAGAGAGAGAGTGGGATGACTTTGAAACATAAAGTTTGGATTCAGTTTTGAAATCAAAAGTCTTTCTAAAGAAGGGGCTGAAAAAAAACCCATGAAACTGACTGGAAGTACTTGTGATTAGTTTAGTCTTCTGCAGTACAGTTCATCAAAGAATTTCAAAGGTTTTGGCAGACACTAGGCACATATGTAAAATCAGTTTAGCCCATATGAAGTTGCCTCCACTAGCACCTACCATCCACACGTAAGCCAGACTGCGTGTGCTTTAACTGACACAGAGCACACAGACACTGGCAGAGAAAAGGGACAAGAAAAGTGTTCCAGGACTAAGCCTACAGCTCCTGCTTTGTGGGTGCCAAGTCCAAGTTCAGCTGCTCCCTTCCAGTCTGAAGCCAATGAGTTTAACTTACTGCTGGGGATCACCTGTGTACCTTTATTTTTAAAAAGACTGGCAGCACTCTCAGTCGGTCAGGTATGAAACATCCAGTCACCTAATTGCACCAGCACACTCACCAACTAATTTAGCTTTACATTAGGTTTTGTGGGTAATAAGTCCTACCCTTCAATTCACAAATAGGGAGACAGAGATGTAGCAAAAAAAAAAGCAACGAGCCTTTTTGGCTGCCAGAAGGAAAAGGTAAAAAGCAACAAAACCAGATTCAGGGCTCCTGAACAAAAGCCTTGTGTTGCTTTTATTGTTCATAAAATATATTTCTAACAGTAAGGATGTATTTTTATCTTTTCAGGTGATCATTTAATCACTTAAGAGCATGATTAAAGCATTATTTAATGTTATTAATGTGTCCAGGACACTCATTTAACCTAAAGGTACATGGGGCACAAAATTCACTCGAGGAACAAGAATTTACCTTGTACTGAAGTCCAAGATGTAACCCTGATATCAAACCCGTGCTAATGACAGCAACTTAAAAGGACTACAAACCTGAACAAAATACCTATGATGTGCTAATGAACCAAGCTAATTATAAATCCCTGTTCAATATATACATGAGGGAAAGATTTTTAAAGGTACTGATACTTTTCATTGAGGTATCTCAAAAAGCAAAGAATAATCTTGTAATTAAGGCATAAAACCCCCAATACTTAGATTTCAATTCTTCTCTGTCTCATTCTTCCTACATAACTTTTGGTGAGACAAAGTCTTTCTACCCCAGCTGAAGTGTTTTTATCTCTTGGAACACTAAAAGCTTAAACACATAACTCCTGCATAGCATTTTGAGATCTGGCTCCTGTGAACTAGAGTAAGAAGAATATTGTAAGAAGTTACAATTACTTTAGCTGCTTAATCCACATACTTTAGCTGTCGGGGCTCGCAGTCCAGTCCAGGTAAGAGCAGTCTGGCTGTCTGCCTGATATCATCACTGTCCACGGTTAAACTGCGCCGGTGCTCAGCGTAGGTGATGGCCACTCTCATCCACTCCATCAGCGGCGGCAGAAGCATGAAGGGTCTGTGAAAACAAGGGAAAAAAATCCATCATGGTTAACACTGGCCTGCTAACTTGTACTGGGATGTAAAAAGCACACTTAATGGCTTCCTGGGCATGTCTGTGGGAGGCTGGCACAGATAAAACCCACCTGCAGAGGCAAACTCTGTCCTGGTGCTCAGCAAGACTGGCAGGTCACAGCAGGTGGAAGGACAGCCTGGGTTATCATAGAATCATAGAACGGTTTGGGTTGGAAGGGACCTTAAAGATCATCTGAACTGCTTCTCACCCACAATGGGGTCAGGCTGGGACATGCTGGTTTCATGCAATACATTTTACCCTGGGGGAAACAGGGCCAGGCTGACTATAAGGGACCTACTTCTACTATGAGCTTTAGGGCAGGCAGCTCTAGCTCAAGTGGCCAACGCTTTGTTTTGGGTCAGAAGGGCTCTTATCTCAGGGGTGATGCTAATACTTGTTTGTTGTTCTAAAGAATCCATATGTACAGGCTGCTCCACTGCTCACTTAGTAACACTGAATATATCCTCGACTATTTGAAGCTGCAATTAAACCAGGCTGATTCAGTACCACCTCCGTGGATCTCCATGTTACGTTATCACTATCCCACGGCTTTTCACAACCTACGTTTCTTAGATGCAGAGCTCAGGCCTCCATTTTTGCACAACTGACCCTCTAGACCATAGCAGAACTGATGCAGGTATGTTTTAATGTGAACCATTCTGCTAGGGAGGAATGAGTAGAATTTAAAAGATACACAACTAACACGGAGACATCTCTGTGCAAGAATAAATGTACAACGGCACTTAAATTGTAAGTAATCTGTGGAAAAGCAATCTATCTGTTCCTAATTTGTACAGCATCCAACACACTGAGGTTTTACTTGATATGAAGGGTTGCAAGGCAATAAAGGAATATAAATAAGGTAATAACACTGGCAACAACAGCCATTTTGGAGCAGCTTATGAAGGGGCCCCCTTTACTCCTGCTATAAGAATGAACACAGTACTGACATTCCACAATAATATACAGGTACCATAATGCTCTCATATACAACACATCTCATCCATCTATCCTCTCAGACTGATCTATTATTTGCTTGATTTTTTTCCCCCAAGGATACCTGCCACCCTGGTGGAAGGCTCAGAACCGCCAGCTGGAATTGCAAACATCTACCCCCTTTCCAGTAACGAATTTATTAACGCTGAAAAAAAAAAAGCCCTTTTCATTTAAGCATTCAAAAGAAAATAACTGAGGGGAGAAGGTACTAATTCCTTTAGAAAGTTCAGAGAAAGAAAGATACACACCAGAAAATATGGAATTCTTTTGGCACTAATGAAAGCAGCGGAACCCACAGAAGGCATTTGGGAAGCGGTGGATGTCTACGTGTGTGCACACATCTGTGAGCACAGTAAGAGTGAGCAGCACCAATCCCATTAGAAACCACTTCTGAATAATGGGATTTGCAAGCAGAACTCCCTTTGTATGACTCTGAACATCCTTCAGGGTGGAATAACTCCACTCTGTAAAACATGTGCCATCTGTTTTCATTTTGCCAGTTGCAAGGTGCGCTCTAACATGCTGCCATTCTCTGTTTACAAACACACACGCGCTATTTTTCCCTCTGCTCCTTCTCTTCTTCTAAGTAGCAAAGCAGCATCTACAAAATCACAGGTCCTTAAAAAAAGCATCTAATCAACCCTGGATTGCCAGTGCAAGGGTGTTTTTAACGGGACATCGACTTACTGCTTTTACCAGTTCACTTCTACGTCAAGCAATCAAAATATCAGGGCTGCTACATTCATCACTCTGAAAATTACCCAGTAACTCATCAGTTGAAAGACTTTCTGAAAGTCCAGCTTGAATCCCCCAATCTGCTTAGGATTTTAACTTGTCCCAGAGAGGTGGGATGGGATGAATCCCTCCAGCACAGCCAATTGATGGGACTGACTTACCTGATTTGGGAGATGCCTTTCAGCACTCTGTTCCAGACAACCTCAACCCTTATCTGCCCTAAAAAAGCAGCACTGACAACTTTGAAATTCAGGCATTTAAAGGAGGAGCCTAAATTAACTATCTAGACTTACTATGTACTCAGCAGAGCCTCCAGTATAGGATTCAAAGCTCCTGAGCTGTGGTGAGGACAGAGGTAGGGCAGGTAGGTTAAAAGGACCAGAATTAAAAGCTCGAAGTTAGATGGGTTGAACACCTCAGGAGTAATAGAAAAAATTCATCTGACAAGTGATTATATCTACACCTTTTGTGATAGGTAAGTTATTTAGGCTACATCACAGCTTCCCTGACACTTTCATGGTGGGAACACTGCTGGATAGAGAACCATACCCTGATCATCTTCTCAGGTAATGAGCTAAACCTTGGTAACTGTTACTGCACTGGGCAGCAAGAGGCTGTGGTCAGCCAGCAGAAAATACCATCGAGTCTGCACCAGAAATAACACGTATCATGAAGAAATTTCCATTCTGTAAAAAAACTCACATGTGCCAGGGTTATAAATGGCTTGCATGCACAAGCAGACCTCGAATGTGGAAAACCTGGTTTGGGAGGAATGGAGAGGAGAAAAAAATGTGTTTGTTTATTTTTTTTTTAAATCTGAACAGATTTTTTCCAAAGGCTTTAAAACCCCACAGCTCAACAGACTGCCTAGTTATGCTGTGCCCGAAGGAGAGCAGACTTTGGACTGCAAAAAGAAATGGTAGGAAGGATGTTTTCCTCATGCTGCTATCCTAACTTGTCCCAACCCCACCACTCACATTGGTGTAAAAGTTCAATAAATCATTATTCTGTCAGGTGTGACTATAATGAGTTCAATTTCTATTTTGCTGTAGGAGCTGTACTGCTCTTGGAAATTTCTAGCTTGAGGATGGGCTTTCTATTCTCCCTCCAAACACACACACACACACACACACACACACAGAGAGACACTCTTCTTTTATCCACCTATTTCTTTTCTCCATACTGTGGGCACGTTCACAGGAACAACTCGAGCGTATTTTGCTCACTGACACTCCATCAGATAAGCAGTATTATCGCATGATCTGAGCAGAGAGAGATGCAGTTCAGCTGAATAAAATGCCAATATTGGGTTACATTGCATTAAAAATAAATGCAATTATTCTTTTTTTCTAGAAAATAAATGCAATTATCAGCCCTGTGCCTCTTAACCTCGGCATTTATCTGCCTCTAGGGAAACACTGATCATTTCACAGTCTGAAAAACACTGGAGGAGGTGAAGAAGAGAAACCTTCATGGAAAATTAACTGGGAGATGCTGCAAGCTAAAGAATTAATTTCTGTCCGTGCATTTCTGTCTGTGCCATGTTCTGTACTGTGCGTTTTCCTCTGGACTTCATGACATTTAGAAGCATTTGGCAGCTCATTAAATTCTGCACATGACGTGATCCAGCCCTGGGAAACTGTCATACTCGCAGCAGTAGTTCACCAGGGACACGTACGCTCTGATTTCTATGAAGAAGAATCGTTGTTCTGTTTCTTGCCATGAAGTTGTCTTCGAGTGATGCCACATGTGGACTGGGAAAGTACAGAGCAGTGGAAAGTAAAATGGACACTGCTCATCTACTCTACACCTTGAAAAGAAGTAGAGTCATGTCTGATACAGTCATGATACATTTTAAGGTCAGGCTGGATGAGGCTTTGAGCAACCTGGTCTAGTGGAAGGTGTCCCTGCTGATGGCAGGGGGGATGGAACTGGATGATCTTTAAGGTCCCTTCCAACCCAAACCAGTCTGGGATTCTATGATTCTATGTGCTGTGGATATTTTATCCATAGGTTCTCTGACATTTGCTCCACTTAGAATTGGACGGCCGCTCCATTCCCAAGGGGACTGGGCTGGAGCTGGGTGAGACACGCTCTGAGAAAGAATGGACTCTAGTGTGGGCTTTTTCCCCTCGTTTGAACTGAAACATGTTGTTTTATTTAGACATAACCAAGAAGGATGGTCACAGAAGCACTCGGCAGAGAATTTATAGCAAGTTGTAACTTTTTCCTGGAAAATGCACTATGCTCCTTTGATTACAACAGCCTAAGATGTGGCTGGCACGTGGAGATCATGTGCAGCACTCCTTGAGGAGCTGCTGTGGGATCACAGACTTTCAGCATTAACTCATGCATCACAAAGAAAACAGTCTCCAAAGTGGGCTCTTCTGAGGATTTGTAACAGCCCTGGGGCCAAGACATTTTTTGGCAGAGGGAAGTTAATTGTATTCAAGAGAGGAAAGACCTCCACAGCAGTTAGAAAATTATGTCATCCTTCCTCTGCACTCAATGCTTAGGAGAGTGCACTTGGAGCTTGACTTTCAGAGGTGAGGAACACCTGGTATCTCAGATGATAACAGCAGGTTTTCCCAGAAGAAAGAGCCATGCTATCAAATTCCTCCCTCCTGCCTGGGTCCCCTGGAGAGCCCAGTGACAAGATTGCTGTAGAAAGGAGGAGCAAGGCAAGGAGGAAACATTTTGCCTGCAGCCTCTCTTTTCCTCCTGTGGTTTTTTTTTTTGCTACAGCAAAACAAAGAGGGAGCCAACAGTGACAGCAACATCAAGAAAGAAAAACCTTGTCCTTCTAAACAAGAACCTCTTCTTCTAAAGCAGGAAAGAAAATACTGTCCTAATGGGAGCAGGTGAGAACAGCAAAATTTGTGTCCCTCTTGGCAGTGGGAGCTGGTCCCGAGACACACATGCAACAAACAGTCAGTCTCCCACCCAGCACGTCCTGTATTCTTCTAAATAGTCTGACTGAAGCTTTCTCTTCCCTTCATCTGCTAACATTTTAAACAGACACAAACTTTAGCATCACAAAACCCGTGTAAATACCAGAATACTTATGGTCAGAGTAGGGTAGGCCATGATAACTCCCTGATATTTGATTAAATGAAACTATACAGAGTGTATGTGCAGAGAAGAATCCCAGACTCTATGGTTCAGTCCCATTTTACCCTAAAATGACAGAGCTCAAAGTCACTAACACACAG